TAGAGTGAACCGTATCAAAGATGATGATTAAAATGGCGATTAATGAAGAAACAGAAGATATAAAACACAAATGTTTAGTTTTCCTCCAAAATGCATTTGTTATTTGTGCATTTTACTTTTTTTTGTGCAGTGTATTATGAAGTGTAACACATTCCCTGTGTGTGACTTTTATGTATATCTGGGAACCCTTATATCTGAGCACCTCCCGGGGCTGTGTGGGGGATGGTGAGCACGGCACTCCACTTCACACATCTGCCGCTGTCTTTACCAATCTTCTCCTAATTGGTATCTTTCCTGGAACATGTATTTCAGTTTCATTCATCTAACGCAGTATTTACCTTTCCTTGGACCTCTTACCCTCAACTTCGCCTATTAGTATTCGTGTGTGTGTGTGTGTGTGTGTGTTAAACATGATAATATTATACACAAAATAATACAACATATTATAAATCTAGTTCTCGCTCATTTCGCTGTTAACTAATTAAAATTGTAAAATAAAGGTGGCTGTACACACAAATTTCCCGTGATTAAAAGCTCATATTTCTCTTTTTTTTCAGAGTTAATGAAGCGTCGACGAGCGCCGCGCCCAGACGTATAAACAAAGAAAACCAAATGTGAGTTTAATAATTTTTGTTGAGTGTGTAGTAAGCTCGTGTATTGAGGACCTGGCTATGTATGGTGGTGCAAGACTCGCGTACATGTATGATGGTGCAAGACTCGTGTACATGTATGATGGTGCAAGACTCGTGTACATGTATGGTGGTGCAAGACTCGTGTACATGTATGGTGGTACACTATTACTTCACTTTTATATGGTCGTGGTCGTTCCATGTGTTGATCCATGTGGGTGTGTAGACAGATATATAAGAACAGAACCAAAGAGGACGGCTTAGCGCCTCTGTGATGGGGATATAGGCGGGATAATTCAGTTTACATGGGTTGCAAAAAAGAACCGAATTGCCAATTTCTTCCATGGTAATAGTGTAGACGGAGACTCAAGATTGTTTGCTCAAGGCTTAACTGCTGGGGGCCGCTGTTGCAGATGAGTGGAAATTAGTTCCCGAGGACGTTGCTCTTGTCCAACCCAGGTTACCAGGAACTGCTAACGATTTGTCTTGATTAGTTGCCGGTTATATGGCAGAATTTAACTTCCTGATTTTTGAGGGAATGATTATGAACTGGGGAGACCTAGGTGATCAAGAGACCCTGGAATAAGCTAATCAGTGGAAGGAGATGAAGAGGAAGACGCGAGGATGTACAGTATATGGATGAAATGGCATACAAAACACGGGGCTAAGAGTGGAAGACGGTGAAGATGACGACCATAGTGTGAACAGCTGACCCAAGACGTGTAAGATTGGTAAAATAGAAAATGTTATGAGAAGGTTGTTGTGTAAAGATGCCGAGTTGTGTCGGATGGTAGTGAAGTGAATGTAGCGTAGCTGATAGTGTAGTCAGGCGTACAGGCACACAGTCCCTCAAGTTAACCTCCCTCAAGCACTCCCTCGCACACTCACTCACACAATCACACGCTCTGTGATGATAAGGAAGTCAACATGTAATAGATGAACAATATAACAAGGAGTGTGTAATATTAGTTCAATAAATTCATTTTTTTTCACTTAGGTTAAGAAATTTAATAAATAATAAATCCTAAGGTGTATAATAATGGCTTCTTCTTGTTATGCTGAGGAATTCAACAAATTTAAAGTGATCAGGTCTCGCAATGTACCAAACTTTACCAAAACTCTGGGAATGGATACAGACTTTCCTCAATGGACGCACTCTGAAATACATCAAGGGACAGACGCTGCTCACAAATGGCCAAGTCATCAAGTTCATCTTGGTCAGACCTAGAACAGGGTTGATCATGAAACATGGATAGTGACCAGGCTGTGCTGACACGTTGGTTTGCTGAAAATGTGATGGACTGACATCAAGTGTTGAAAGGGTTGTATAAAACTGCTGAGCGAATGTCAGAACCTGAAGTAGAAACATTTTCCTAAATTAGTTGTAAACATTGATGTCGTAAAGCTTATAGAAAATAGGTAGTAATGGAGACTATTGGAGAACAGGTGTAGATGGAAGTGTTGAAGGAAGACAAAGTGTGAGTGAGATGATGAGGAAACAACTCACGTAACATGAGAAGAGTTACAAGCAGAGGGGTCAGTTGTGAGGCATTATAAAAGGAAGGATGATGAGGGTAAAGAAGATAGGAATTTGTTTTAATGAGTGAGTAAAGACATAGTGAGTGTCAGGACGATCTCGGCTTGGCTTGAGGTTGTCGCTGTTCAGATTAGAACTAAACAGTCCCACAGGCCGTAACTCACGGTGGGGACAAGGAGGAACTTACCAATAACAGTGATTCTTAAGTTGGCTACATATTTTAAACGAACATATTGGACACTGATGTATCTTATAATTAGGCTAACCTGAGCTTTAGTTGTATCATCATAACAGTTGATTGGTAAAAACTGGTCATTCACCATTATTATATGGTTTCATTTTGTTACTAGTGCAGTGTGTCTCATGGCGAGTGTTGGTGACTGTACCAGCCATCGAGACTCCAGACACACCTTAGCTCCACCTTCCTCGTTCTATTCTGTTTGATAAACTTTATCACCCAAACTTTCACAACTCTACTTAAAACTTCATTGTGAAGTTTTACTCATTATACTTTTGTATATATTCTTGAAGCCTTAATGTTGTCAAGAAATGACATCAAGAACTAAAGTCACTTTGTAATATTTCCTAAGAATATTTACATTGGGGGTAATTCGGCATTATCAATATACAGTACAGTACTCTGAGCTTACAGATGACCTTAAAAAACATTCTCTATGTAGAGCTGATCACATTAGTCACAGTATTTGTGTGATCTTTTAAGAGTTCATTCTACCACGTCCGTTATAATGTTTATATCACTTAGTTATATTTAGAAAACTCACACACTCACTCACATACACGAATTATACTCACTCACTCACTCACATACACGAATATACTCACACACACACACACTCACACACACACACACACAACTCACACACACACACACACACACACACACACACACACACACACACACACACACACACACACACACATCACCACGGCCTCATCTGCAAATTTGGTAAGAAGCTTCTACACCATCCCCGACACCGGCCCCTACTACCACCTGAGATCCCCTGTCCGAGAATTGCTGTTCGACACCACAACCGCATCCAGCCCATACGTGCACGAACTGATCGCTATAAGCACAGCCCAGTCCCAACCATTGTAAAAATTATCAGCTAGCATGACAAACCAGTGTACTCCTCCCAGTAAACACTACTCCTTGCTGTCATATGTTGAAATAGACGCTGTAGTTTGAGCTTTTCCCCATCTGGATTGTGCTATGTCTTATTTGTGTGTCCTTATATTTTGTATATTATTTGTAATTCAGAAACCCATTTGATATGTAACTGTATATTTTCAGCCTTCGGCTGCCAGCTCTTTCAATAAACCGTTTAATTATTACCAGAATTATTATTATTATTATTATTACACACACACACACACACACACACACACACACACACACACACTCACTCACTCACTCACTCACACACACACACACACACACACACACACACACACACTTTTCCCATGTTCTTAGAAGCTTGTCCATATTTGTACTTTTCTCCCACAGTGTTTTTTTATTAATATTTCTTATAAGACCTTACAACAACTAAACAATGTGTGATATGTTCTCAAGTGTATTTTTTCTCAATAATATTAATTTTTTGTTTTTATAAAAAGTGTAAAAACTGTTTATTAAGAGGCTGACATCAGATTTAACCCTTATTGTCAATTTTACTCTTTAAATAATGCCATATTTTTCCCTCTTAATTTTACCATTATTGTTTAAGTACTCGTATCTCCCTGTCTCACCTCGTCCACTCACAAGTCAATTTAACACGTGTAGAAGCAATTACTCGCCCCTAAACTGAACAAATACATTTTATTCACCACACTTCTCGTTTTCCCTTAATGTCCGCCAACTTCCCCTTTCAATATCTCTCGGCACACAATTTCCTCTCGTTACTGATTGACTTTCCACGATTTTCTGACTTTCATCCGTCCAAATAAATATTCAATACCAATACTGTGGATCAACTGAAGGGTGTGGGTGTGTGGTGTGTGTGTGTGTGTGTGTGTGTGTGTGTGTGTGTGTGTGAGGCAAAATAGAGATATCTTTTCCCAAAAACCTCATCTCCTGGACAACACCTTGAGAACCAAAATTAATTAATCAATCAATCCTGTTCCCCACGTGAGACAATGAGACCGAGATGAGAACTGTCTCACCCGAAATGTGAAAGATGGTTCTCCCTGTTTGGTGGAGAGAGAGAGAGAGAGAGAGAGAGAGAGAGAGAGAGAGAGATGTGATGATAAGGAAGAGGCGGAGAAGGGGATAAAAAAATAGGTTGAGGATGTAGAGAAGAAGGTTTAAATTTGGAGGAAGGAAACCGCCCGGTAGTTGAAGTTAAGGGTCAGGTGTTGGTAGAGAGATATGTATACGGTTTTTATTTCAACAGTCACATAAGATCAGGTAAGAAATGACCTCTGGTAGTGCTCTCATAAATATCTTTCTGCAATATATTTAACTCACGTGGTTATGAATTGTCGTGTTAAAGTTTTAAGTATTGTTGTTGCTATCAAACTCATATTTACAATCTTTGGTGCAAGTAGTTGATCACCTCAACTTTTGTAGTTATACGGCACGCAGAGGCAGATGATGCATATCACTAGTCATTAGGTCACTGACCACTGGGTCACTGGTCATTAATCACTAGATCATTGAGCACAGCCATGGGGCCACAATAACTGGTCACTGGGTTACTCGAACACCATATCACTGCATCACTAAGTCACTGTTGCTAAATTGATCGGTCACTAGATCATGAGGTTACCAGATAACTGGAACACTAGATTACTGGGTCACTGTCACACTGGTCACTATGGCCCTGGTCACTAGTTACAACGTCACTGTCACACTGGTCACTATGGCCCTGGTCACTAGTTACAACGTCACTGTCACACTGGTCACTCTGGCCCTGGTCACTAGTTACAACGTCACTGTCACACTGGTCACTATGGCCCTGGTCACTAGTTACAACGTCACTGTCACACTGGTCACTATGGCCCTGGTCACTAGTTACAACGTCACTGTCACACTGGTCACTATGGCCCTGGTCACTAGTTACAACGTCACTGTCACACTGGTCACTATGGCCCTGGTCACTAGTTACAACGTCACTGTCACACTGGTCACTATGGCCCTGGTCACTAGTTACAACGTCACTGTCACACTGGTCACTATGGCCCTGGTCACTAGTTACAACGTCACTGTCACACTGGTCACTATGGCCCTGGTCACTAGTTACAACGTCACTGTCACACTGGTCACTATGGCCCTGGTCACTAGTTACAACGTCACTGTCACACTGGTCACTTTGGCCCTGGTCACTAGTTACAACGTCACTGTCACACTGGTCACTGTGGCCCTGGTCACTAGTTACTAGGTCATTGAATCATTAACAGGTCCAGAGGGTCGTGTGAGGACTGACGACTCACTTAACTCGTACCATCTGTGAGTGAGAGAGCCGAGGATAACTCACATTATTTATGACAATACGTAACATTATCCAGAATGTTTACAACAAAGGAAGTTGATTTGTCCATCTTCTAAGATTTATTGTCAGAAACCGTCGGTTCTTAAGTGTTCCCAGGATGAAATATTACCCCAGCAGCCGCTCTCTCCACCACCTGCACTCTTACCCTGAATTATTGCTTGTGTGTGGCGGTGAGTGAGAGGCAGACAGCCCAACAGATAGACAGGAACAGACAAGTAAGGGTCCTTAACCATCATTGCACATTTTTCCTCACACTTTAGTTTGGATCGAAAAATTTGTGGGAAGATAAAATCTATTTTTTTTTTTCAATTGATAAAATTGTATCTAGAAAATTCTTATTCATTAAGGGGGGGGGGGCTGGAGGACCACCAGCAGGAAGGTCTTTGTGTCTGTCTTGGTCAACATGTCCCCAGCGACCATCAGACAGAACCTGTATCCCCCAGGTGTTCACCACCTGCTAATGACATCGTAACTGACCTGTAGGACTCAGCCAGGTGAAAGATTGTCAAGGAGAGAATATCAAAAGGAAGGGAAGGAGGTCGGTGAATGAGAGAAAGTGAAAAGTAAGGGTAGGAGAGAAGGTGAAAGAGGCAGAGAGAGAGAGAGCATGGTGGATGTGATGGGAGGCGAGGCATGAGGAGAGGAGGGAGAAGGTTTATTGAAAGAGGGGGACATGTTGTGGGTGAGGGAAGGTACATGTGTCAAAGGTTCATCTCGTAAAAGGTCATCTTAAATAACTTTCTCTTGGTCAGTCCTTATATCTAATTATTAATATTATTATTATTATCATTATTATATATATATATATATATATATATATATATATATATATATATATATATATATATATATATATATATATATATATATATATGATATCTAATTTGCATAAGTTGATGAGAAGGAACAATGTTAAAGTAAGGCAGGAGAGGGTGAGGGGGCAGTGTAAGACCAGCAACAGGAAGGTGCTCAAACACAGGTAAAAACACTGGCCCACATATTGCCTACATAGTACACAAAGCTAGTCATTTATCACCACATTGTTAACAGTGTTAAGGAGACAGACTGTACATAATTCAACAATATAATGTTATCTGCACTTAACACAACTCAATACTGTATAGTATTACTAAATAGATAATTCACAATTTTACTTTATTAGCGTTATTTTTAAGATACTTTATCACTATAATTATTTATGGCAATTACAAAAGTATCACTTCTCAATTTGTTATAAGACCAACATAAGATCAATACTTATTGTGATGGTGAGGAAACATTATTAGCTATGTGTAAGTATTTTGAGGTACAATAATAATGCTCTGGTGACAGACTACTGCTACTTAATCAACTTGTGAACCTTAATATAAATATAAATACTTTGCACTTAAAGAGACAAAATAATGAATCATCGTTATCACACGTCACCTGGCTCTCGTGTCCTACGAGGGGTTAGCATTGCTCGCCTCTCAAGTGAACGAACTCTGGTTTGACTCCCAGGCAGCAGAATCCCTTACGCCTTCCTCTCTGTCTACCCATAATTATATTGGAACCTGAACGTATACTGATCATATTCTGAGTAATATTTTACCGTAATGGGACGAGGATTGTTGAGTCACTGAGGTCCCTCCACGACGCCACCTTACACAACTCATTAACTTTTACATCATCTACACATAACTTAGGGAGGTCATCTTCCTTCATGAGAAATAAACTGATAAGACAGCTTTACTGTGAGGTGGTCCTGGCCTGTGTGTGTGTGCGGGAGTTGATTAAGCGGTACATCCTGGCGGAGGTTAGTGGCTCAGGTCAAGCCAACCAGCACTAACATGCTCTTTGTGTTGCTGGAGTGTTCCTTTACTTCTGTGTTAGATAAAGTCTTAATATTGCGCAAGAGACTGCCTCCACATGTGTAGTAAGAGTCAGGTGTGAAGACTGCCTCCACATGTGTAATAAGAGTCAGGTGTAGAAGACTGCCTGCACATGTGAGGAAAGAGTCAGGTGTAGAAGACTGCCTCTACATGTGTAGTAAAAGAGTCAGGTGTAGAAGACTGCCTCCACATGTGTAGGTCAGGTGTAGAAGACTGCCTCCACATGTGTAGTAAGAGAGTCAGATGTAGAAGACTGCCTCCACATGTGTAGTAAGAGTCAGGTGTAGAAGACTGCCTGCACATGTGAAGGAAGAGAGTCAGATGTAGAAGACTGCCTCCACATGTGTAGTAAAGAATCAAGTGTGAAGACTGCCTCCACATGTGTGGTAAGAGAGTCAGGTGTAGAAGACTGCCTCCCACATGTGTAGTAAGAGAGTCAGGTGTAAGACTGCCTCCACATGTCAAGGAAGACAGTCAGATGTGAAGACTGCCTCCACATGTGTAGGCTAGAGTCAGGTGTAGAAGACTGCCTCCACATGTGTAGTAAGAGAGTCAGATGAGAAGACTGCCTCCTGTGTAGTAAAGAGTCAGATGTAAGACTGCCTCCACATGTGTAGTAAGAGAATCAGGTGTAGAAGACTGCCTTCACATGTGTAGTAAGAGAGTTAGATGTAGAAGACTGCATCCACATGTGTGGTAAGAGAGTCAGGTGTGGAAGACTGCCTCCTCATGTGTAGTAAGAGAATCAGGTGTAGAAGACTGCCTTCACATGTGTAGTAAGAGTTAGATGTAGAGACTGCATCCACATGTGTTAGAGAGAGTCAGGTGTGGAAGACTGCCTCCACATGTGGTAAGAGAGTCAGGTGTGGAAGACTGCCTCCACATGTATAGTAAGAGAGTTAGATGTAGAAGACTGCCTCCACATGTGTGGTAAGGAGTCAAATGTGGAAGACTGCCTCTCATGTGTAGTAAGAGAGTCAGGTGTAGAAGACTGCCTCCACATGTATAGTAAGGAGTCAGATGTGGAAGACTGCCTCCACATGTGTGGCAAGGAAATCAAAGTTGAAGACTGCCTCCACATGTATAGTAAGGGAGTCAGATGTGGAAGACTGCCTCCACTGTAGTAAGAGAGTCAGGTGTAGAAGACTGCCTCCACGTGTAGTAAGAGAGTCAGGTGTGAAGACTGCCTCCACATGTATAGTAAGGAGTCAGGTGTAGAAACTGCCTCCACGTGTAGTAAGAGAGTCAGGTGTAAGACTGCCTCCACATGTGTAGTAAGAGAGTCAGGTGTAGAAGACTGCCTCCCACATGTGTAGTAGAGTCAGGTGTAGAAGACTACCTCCTCATGTGTAGTAAGAGAGTCAGGTGTAGAAGACTGCCTCCACATGTGTAGTAGAGTCAGGTGTAGAAGACTACCTCCTCATGTGTAGTAAAGAGTCAGGTGAAGACTGCCTCCCACATGTGTAGTAAGAGAGTCAGGTGTAGAAGACTGCCTCCACATGTGTAGTAAGAGAGTTAGATGTAGAAGACTGCCTCCACATGTGTAGTAAGGGAGTCAGATGTAGAAGACTGCCTCCTCATGTGCAGTAAGAGAGTCAGGTGTAGAAGACTAACAAGGCTGGTGGGACAACATTTGTCTGGGTCCGGTCCTCCCAGTAGAGGGGCTATGAGGCGTGGTGTGTGTTGACGCTCCATCGTAACTGGGCCGGCGGTAACTGCTTCTCTGGTATAAATTACGTTTCCTTGGTGCTACGAGTCACAGAATTTATTAAATACTCATATATATTTATAAACAGAAATTATGAATTAAAAATTTAAAATATTTTCAAAATAAAAAATTGACTGATACACACAAAATACACATAACTATGTATACAAATAAGAACACAAATGTACACACACACACACACACACTTCCTTGATTGTTCATCTCTTCTCCATCTTCTCTTAATAATCTTGTATAAAAACAAATCATTTTGGTGTTCAATCCTACTCATAACCTAACCAAACCTAACCTAAGCTAACCTAACCTAACCAACCTTCCTCGCCAGCAAAGATGGTGATCCAAAGTTATTTATAGATATTATTTAAACTTTGTTCAGCTTTCAGGTATAAGTTATAGTGAGGTAACTGTCCAAGACCGATAATGAGGTATACATGTCATGCAGTGTACATGGTTGTCAATTAAACATATTATACAGTATACATGGTTGTCAAGTAAACATACTATACAGTATATATGGTCATCAGGTATACATGTTATACAGTATACATGGTCATCAGGTATACATGTTATACAGTATACATTGTCATCAGGTATACATGTCATACAGTATGCACGGTTATCAGGTATACATGTCATAGGTATACACGTTTGTGAGGTATACATGTCATAGGTATACACGGTTGTGAGGTATACATGTCATACAGTATGCACGGTTATCAGGTATACATGTCATAGAGTATACACCGGTTGTGGTATACATGTCATAGAGTATACACGGTTGTGAGGTATACATGTCATACAGTATGCACGGTTATCAGGTATACATGTCATAGAGTATACACGGTTGTGAGGTATACATGTCATACAGTATACACGGTTATCAGGTATACATGTCATACAGTATACACGGTTGTGAGTATACATGTTATACAGTATAAACGGGCATCGATACCATGCAAATATATATATATATATATATATATATATATATATATATATATATATATATATATATATATATATATATATATATATATATATATATATATATATATATATATATATATATATATATATATATATATATATATATATATATATATATATATATATATATATATAACTTCATCACAGGCAGGCGGGCAGGTATTTATACAGAGTGACATGTATACTAACGAGACTCGTATTAAGTAATTTCCACAACATAATGGACGCGGCAGCTGTGAAATTGTCTGTTATTGTGGCAGTGTATATATGTGGTGGCTTATATGTGTTACCT